TTGGGGAGGGCAAAGAGAAAATAAATATTCACTCGATCGATCAATCAATCAAATCACAAACACACAAAAGAGAACAAGCACAAGTCATCGTCTTTTTAGAAAAAGCATTCAATGAGGGGGAATATTTAATGGATGGCGGAGACTTGTTCGAGATTCTTGTGCACCATCTCTTCCTTCAGGATCAGATGCGAGACCTGGAAAATAGAAAAGTAAATCGAAATCGTCTGGTAAAATGACCTTGTTGAGGGTGTCGGTCAATCGTCGCACATTGTCGGCCCATTGATCGAGATGGTCGACGTGTGCCTATTTATGGAGAAGTAAAAATCCTGATCGATTAATGTACCTTCTTGGCCTTCAGATTGACGATACGATTCGGGCGATCGATCTTCGCATTCGGGATCATGCCGTTGACGATCAGATTGCACAGGAATTGTTCCATCTCCTAAAACAAACGAAGATTAACAACGATCTGGCGACGTACAGCCACAGGGAAATCGAGCAGCTCGGCCAGGCGGTCGAACGTGATCTGCGTGTAGTACTTCGACACCATGCGCAGGTTCTGAAAAGGCCAAAATAGCTTTAAAAACATTAGAAAAGCTTACGTGTTCTCCAACGCGTACGTGCAGATCCTCCCAACGTTTGTTGCCATTGGCCGAGTCGTCGAAAATCTAAAAATAAAGATCTAACGCAAATTTTGATACAAACCCCAGTGGCAGGATTGGCGGGAGTGCCGACACGAAGGAGTGCTTGGTACGTCTTGCCCAACTCGGTCCAGCTGATGATCTCCTGGTTGATGAACAGCTCGAGGGAATTTCTGAAATTCAAGCAAATTATTGAAAGTCCAAAAAGCCACCTTATACTCGAGGATCGACTCCAAATCGCGCATCTGAACGAGGCGATGGACGAGATCCCATTGCTCATTGCCATGCGGGGCCAACAGCACGTAGATGACGGCACACTTCAGGGCCATCTTGTTCTTCTCCAGATCGCCGAGGATCTTTGGCGTCTCTTGGATTGCCCTGTAGTGGCGGCACACGTCCAAATAGTTGTTGTTGTGCAGGCCGACGGTGATCATCAACTCGTAGAACTTGAGCTTCAGATTTTGCACCTAAATTGAAAGAATAATCGCTTTGAAATGAGCCCCAACCTGATCCTCAACAGGTTCCTTGGTGAAGAACTTGGTGCTGATCTTCTTGGCAATGATGCTGGCACGAACGTAGTCTTCACGAGCGACAGATAGTCGCATCTGTTCCAGAAGGAATTCCACCTCAAAATCACTTTTTCAGAAAAGAAAACAACTGAATACCCTCTCCTTGACCTCCATACTGCCGTACGTCTCGACCTGGAGCTCGAGAAGCATCGTCGCCGCCTCCTCCAGTTTTCCTACAAAAATAGAGCTATTAAAAGAATTCGTAACAAGAGAAACCTTGTGCCTCAAGCTTCTTGACGACATACGACGTCAAACGAGCCCGTTCCACTTCCACGTAAATCTAATAAAATGAAAATTATAGGTTTAAAATGCTTTGAAAAACTTTCCAGCAGTGACAGTGCGGGAGTGTCTCGCTGAGCTTCATCCTCAATTCTTCAGTTGGCATCTTTTCAACCATTTGACAACAGCTGCGAACCATTCGAGCGATGGCCACCTTGATGAGAAGCCGCTTCTTCGACAATGCCAGAATTGTCTCGTTTAGCAGATCCCATTGTTTCCCGTCAAAGCACATCCTACAAAAAGAGGAATTATCTTTGAAAGTAGCATAATACTGACTGGACCATATGTTGAACGACGCGGGCATTGCTCTTCATATCACTGCCGAGACGCGACTGCTTCTCCAGTGTGTTCAACGACTCGACAGCACCCGCCACGTTTCCAGTCTGAAAAGCGGAAATTGAGAGGGATTAAGCTTCTCTACCTTGGCAAGAATATCGGCATTTGGGAGGGCGGCGTCGACATCTTTGGTGTAGTCGTACTCCATCTTCAGAAGACGGCCATCGCCCACCTGAAAAAATGAATGAAGCCTGAAAGGATCTGATACCTATGCGGCGAGCTGGGCCAAGGAATCCGTCCTTCGACATGGGGCCCGACGAGCAGCTCGGTGCGCTGCTTCGGCATTATCCTGCAAAAAAAGTGGTAAAAAAAGACAAATGAACGAATGGAAAGAAATCAGAAAAACAAATCAAATCAATATAAATGTTTAAAAGTTCCGAGAAACTCCGATTTGCTAAGGAGGCCGATAAAACCTTTTAGTAAAATGGATAAATCAAAATAATATTTAAAACTAGTAGTAGAACGGATACGGAGCGAAACCCAATTCCTAAACAAGGAGCGACAAAGGAACGGAAAGAGAGGGGGAGAGGGGGAGAAGCCGAGACACCGGTCAACCCTATCCACTACGTATATCATCCAGATATCATCCTGGACATCAGCACGTCATTAGTATCGGGAAGTACGGAATTCAATGTCTCAACCAACAGTCGAAATGGGCTTTAAAGGGACTGGGAAGTCAAAATTCGTGCGTGCCATTGAACCCACTGGTCAAAAATGGAAAGGGTTATTGCCGAGACAACAAAAAAAAAGTGGTTTCACTGCGAAAAAACGTAAAATAGTTGAGAAAAAGCCTTTTTTGCGCGGCGATTCCATGTCGTAATGCCTTGTAAGACACCCAAGCTCTCGATCTCGGTGATTTTCTCGTCAAATTTCATTATTAAAAAGTCTACAAGGATCAAAATTCGAGATTCCAGTAATAGCATCAGAATTTTAAATTCAAGCGTTTTCACGTCCAAACAGGGGCAAAAGATCAGGCGGCGCGGTGGCGTTGCGGTCGCATCTGGCTATTTGCCAGGAATCAACGCAAGGGGACGTCCAGGCTTTTAGCCCCCCTGAACCAACCTGTAGATCCAAGAAAAAAATCAATTTATCACCTACCAGTCATCCTCTTCCGGAGAGATGTTCGTGTATTGAGAAGAAGAGAGGAGGGTGGGTGTGGATAGGAATGGAAGGGAATGGATGGATGGATGGCCGGGATGGGTTTGTTGTATTTGTCTTCTGGTTGTTGGCTAGGGTTTGAGACTCTTACGGGGGCAGTTCTCTTGGCAATAGAGAACAGAAGAGAGGGATAGCGAGAGCGAGAGGGAGAGAGAGGGGCCACAGATGGATTACCGATGTTTAACACCCTGGAATTAGCTGGTCAAGAACGAAAAAACTAGATCTAGAGAAAAGCTAGAGATCCATATATTGAGAAAGAGAGAGAGAGAGAGAGAGAGAGAGAGAGAGAAAGTGAAAGCGGGAGAGATTCTTAGCTTTCAAGTAATTTTTGTATGAGTCAAAGAAGCGTGAAAAACAAGCCAGAAGGGCGGATTAGCACGCTAGAAGCTAAACAGCCAAAAAAGGGAGAAATCAGGAACGGAAGGACGTAAAAAGGATAAGAAAGAGAGAGAGAGAGAGAGAGAGAGAGAGAGAGAGAGAGAGAGAGAGAAAAAGAGATCCAAAGAAACAGACAGACATGGAAAAGTCGCCCCCACAAGAAGAAGCCTGGAGAGACTGACGACCCAGCGCAAATAGTGCCCACTAGCGCTCTCTCTCTCTCTCTCACTCTGTCTTTCTCTCTTTGAGAAAAAGAGCTTATGGCCCCCGCACAAAATCTCTGAAGGCAAGCGCCTGGCCTGGTGGTCGATCGCGCACATGGAACACGGGATCTGGGGTGTCAGAAAAACGGAAAATTCGCAGAAAATATGCGAATTTTTGTCAAGAATAAAGTGATTAAAGTAAAGCTAATCATCAGAAAAGGTGGGTTTCGTTTGAAATTGTTAAAACCGGCAGAAAATTCATTTTTTCTGCTCATTCAGGCCACTCTGGCAAGCCCAGAAATCTCTTAGTTTCATTCTTATTTAATTAGGACAATATTTATTAATTTTTTCTAGAATTTGATGAATAGTAACATCCTCTAATTCTTTTTATTAATCGTCTTTAATTTTTGACCCACCATTCAAGCCACTGGGATGCCGAGAAGCATGGCGTACCTCCCAGGAAACGCGCCTAAATTTGGATAAAAGTAATGACCATCGAATCCACATAAAAATTGCTAAAATAAAGTTAAAACTAACTAAATTCCGCCAAAAAACCTACTTGACGGGGTGTGGCTCGCCATTGGCCATCAAATCGGTCAACGATTTCGATCGGTGGCGATTCTCTGCCTCTTCCGATCTGCAAATACCGACCAAATGAACAATCCCTAGAATCAACAGAACAAAACTAAAAAAAACTGGGCGTTTGATGATTCGATTTTGCATCAAAAATAAGCCAAATTGACACGAAATAGGTGAGTTTTCTGCTTTGCTTTTGGTCTCCAGAGCCAAATATACGAAAAAAAAGAGCCAAAGATTTCTTATGCGCTTCCCGAATTCACGCATAGTTTGATTTGATGAAACCTCAGGGGGTGGGAGCTGAATTTTTAGGCGAGCCGCGACTTGGCACGTCGCCAAATTTTGGGGGGATTTGTTTTTGAAGGGACTGGGAAGCTTTAAAGCTAGGTTTCGAAGCTTTTGGGCAAGTCTAAGGAGTGAATTTGGCCGCTGTAGGATCTTTGCGGCGTAAAAATGGCAGGCAGGCCAGGAAAGTACTTTTTCCTTTTCCCCATGCCAGATTGGTGGGCGAAAAACGGCGATTTGGCGGACCCCGGTTTTTTCTATAAATCTAGAAATGCCGAATAACGATAAGAAGTGTTGTAAGCCTGTTTTTGGTCCACATAACGATATTTTAAGTGGAAAACCAAAATAAAATTCAGCTACAGTTTTAGGTGAAAATTTGGTTAAAAATCTATATTTTTTGTATTTTTAATAAAAATTTGCAAATATTTACGTCATCTATTGTATTAAAACATGGGTTCCGAAAAAGGTTTCCCCCGCTAACGTGAAAGAACCGAAAAACGAATTAAAGGGACTGAGAAGCCAAAAGTCTGTGGTACTCTGGCCGATTTCAGCGATTTCAGAAGGCCAAAAACTCACAACTGCACAGAAGAAGTAGCCTGGCGTAGTCGGGGATCCATCGATTCATCAGCTCTTTCTACTAGAAAAAAGTGGTAAACCCTGAAAATTGTTAACCTACCGTATCCATTCACACCGTAGGCATCGCGGCGTTCGCTCGATCGGGATGGGGACTGGAAAACATTTCTAACCTGTCTTTCGAGAGTTTTTTCTAGTCATTCTATTTCGATTTTGGTAAACCTATGTTTGGGTCTATTGTAACCGCTACCGTACCCCCTAACCTACCGGCGGTTCCCTAATCGTCACATGCGTCACATGGCGATTCACACGATTTTGCCGAGCTAGAGAATCCGAAAAATCGGCATCATTCCGTCGCCGTAAATCGTCTTGCGAAGCGTAGTGCATACTGTAATTAAGGCATCGACTAGAACAAACAAAATCATAAACTCTAGATCCGAAAAAAAATGGTGAAATTCCGTACCTATACTGTTGACTCGTCACCGGATTGCTGCCCGGGACAGCCGGAGGGAATCGAGCTTCTACCTCCTCGAATTCCGGGTTCTAAAAAAGCAAAAAAATACTTTGAAAGTTGTTAAAAAAATTACCTTTCGCGCGTTCGGGGAAAAGCCGCCGAAATAGACGTGTTTTCGGGGTGGGACCGGGCTCGCTGAAAATCAGAAATTTGTCGTTAGCTCTAAAAATCTCTGCTAGCATGCCTGCCAGGCCTCTTTTTTACCCCAAAGAATAGCCTGCCACAGCCGCATTGATACGATTTCCCCCACCATTTTTTTCCAGATAGCCTGCCACAAGAGGTTTTTCCTCAAGTATCTTTGCTAGCATGCCAGCCAGGTCTCATTTTTACGCCAAATACCTATGCTAGCCTGCCAGCGCGCAAATAGCAAAATTATTTCCGCCCAAAAACCTTGCTAGCGTGCCTTAAAGGGCACGTTCAGGGACGTTTTTTTGGAAAAAAGCAAAGAGCCGCGGCCGGGGGTCGAACCCGGGCCCCCCCCCGCTCGGGAAGCGCGGATGGATACCAGTCAGCCACAGCTACAACCTGGCGAGGGGATGAGGGGCGCCCCACGCCGAAAAGGAGGGGAATGGCCTGTCACAGCACGGGCAGGCCGTGCGCGCGGTCCCTACGTCCATAGGGTGTATACGTTGCGACGAGTATATGGCCCCTCCCTGAACGTGCGTTTTAGGGCTTCATTTTCTCAAAAGCCTTGATAGCTCGCAGAGAGACTTTATTTTTTTCAAAGATCTCGGCTAGCTTGCCCGATTTTCCAAGGCTAATGCCGTTTTTACAAAAATCTCTGCTAGCCATCACCAAGCTCGGATTTTCCTCAATGTTATTGGCTAACTTTTCAATGCTTTCACAATTTTTTTGAGCATTCTAAGAATCTCTGCTAGCTTGCCCTTACCGCTAGAAACAGGTGCCCTCCTCTGAATCCTTGGCGAAGCATTTTTCTTCCTGGTTTCCGACTCCATCCTCTCAACGCCAATGTCGTCGGCCTGCACCCAGTTACCCAGCCTTCACCGGTCCTTTAAAACGGGGGCGATGCCATTGACGGGATGGAAAAAACGGAAGGAAACGAAATCCGCAAAGATCCAAAAATGGCCATAGCCAAGGTGGGAATTGGCCAGAATAGAGAGTTGTGGAATATTCTAGCGCGTCAACGCGGAAAAACGGGAATATAGGGAAGTTGAGTGAAGATAAAAAGCAATAAAAGTGACCAAACTACAAAAAATTATAAAATTACTGCATTATTAATATGTCCGATCCCTTAAAGCGAATATTACTATAAGGAAAATCTAGTGAAATTGGAAAAACCAACATCAGAAAGTAAGTTGAAGAAAACAATGAAGAATTTTTGGCTGTCCGAGCACCCTTAAACTAACTTTATTCACCATTAAAAAAATCTACAAAAATAGGGGCAAATCGATCGTTTTGACAAATTTGAAAAGTCAACTGAAAAAAAACGAAACCTTAATCGTTACTTGCCTCGCCGTTTAAAACTAGCGACTCGGTTTGAAAAAGCTGGAAAGAAAAAGCTTAAAAATGGGCATGAGGCGATTTTTTAATTATTTGTTTTTGAACAAATTCATGGACATTTTGACTTGTCGATTCCTTTAAAATAGATATGTCCGTTCCAAAAATATAGCAAAAATAATCACCCAAAAATCTCAAGCCAACACCCTTATTTTCCAGGAATACATATCTATTCTCACACACCCAATCTCGACTCCTCGATAAATAAGGCTGAAAGGAGCGAGAGAGAGAGAGAGAGAGAGAGAGAGAGAGAGAGAGACAGAGAGAGCGAGCGAGGGAGAGAAAGAGAGCGAGAGGTTGAGAAGTAAATCAACCTTCCTCTTCCTGGGATAATAATATGAATAGAGACAGGAGGAGAAGGAAGAGTGGGATCCAATTAATATATCGCAACTTATGGAGGCGAGAAAAAACCTATATTTTTCAGGGGTTGACTTTTAAAGGGAGGGTGACAGAGATAGAACGAGAGAGAGAGGGGAGAGAGAGAGATAAAGTGAGAGAGTGAGTGAATGAGAGAGAGAGAGAGAAAGATCGAGAAACTGTAGATGAAACCTGAAACCCGTTTTCATACAAAATTCGCCAAAACCTCCGATCCGTCAAAAGTATCGTATCGGAATCGGCACATCGAAGGGATAAATCGGATGGGGGCAAAGTTGATGATGATGAGGGGAGAATCTCGATTGGATCTCTCAACAAAGAGGGACCCCCCACTCAAACAATCAACTGAAAGGGAGGGCATCCATCCACACAACTATCTAGCCATCTATCTGGGCCGCATCTAGCTTTTCCTAACCGGAATAGAAACCGTTGGAAGGCTTGGAAAGGTTACCGGAAGTTATGAAAAAGTATAGTTTAAAAAAAATGAATTTTGGGTCAAATAGCTCGGGTGAAGGTGAGTGTAAAGGGGGATGCAACTTCGCCCAAATTTTCAAAAAAATGGCGTGTGAAGGGAGGAAAAACAGCTCGAAAAATGAAAACGAAAGAGAGCTAAAGAGATAGATAGAGAGAGATAGAGTGAGGAGAGAGTGAGAGCGATAGAGAGAGACACACAGAGAGAGAGCGAGAGAGAGCGAGAGAGAGCGTGAGAAAGAGAGTGACAGGCACGATCCCTAGAAAAATCTCAAAAATTCACCCAGCTGTCACGCTCCCTTTAAAAGATCGAGCTGAAAACTGCTCAAAATCCCCAAAAAATGCTCTGCCTCTCTCCCATTAATCCCATAAACCTACAAATACACCTCTCCCGATGCAAAGCGGAGTGGCTGTATGCTGAGTGAGTGAAGTATGGCCCTAGGGATTGACCCCCTCGGCTTCTTCTAGCTCTTTGAAGGGGGAGGCAAGCGGAGAGTCTTTGCTAGGGCGCGGAAAGAGGACTGTAGTGGAATAGAGAGAAGGGGGCCCGCTGAGCCTGTTTGTGTTCCGTTTAGCTCCTATCGACAGAGGGGTGCGAAGGGGTGCAAAAGGGACCTCAGAGCTACCCCTTCACGCCACGGACTCTCCTTAATGCATGGTTATGTTTGCATAGTGGGGTTGAAGGGGTACTAATCTCTAGACTACCGCGTCGTACTATCGACGGACGGATGGCAAGTTTTTGAGCTGGAGAACGGTAAAAGGATGGAAATCCAAGATTTTTTGGAAAATGGGACGCTTAAGCGTTTTAAAGGGAGTGTGACAGGTGGAGAGCGATGTAGAGAGAGAGAGAGAGAAAGCGAGAGAAAGCGAGAGAGAGTCGGAGACAGAGATGGTGAGAGAGGGAGCGGGAGAGGGACAGAGAGCGAGAGACGGCAAGCAAGAGATATTACGAGCGCGACAGCTAGGAAAGCGAGAGAGAGAGAGAGAGAGAGAGAGAGAGAGAGAGCGAGAGAGAATATGCCAAAACAGGCAAAAAATCAAAGCCCCATCCATAAAAATCTTTATTAAAGGCACACACAAGACTGTGAATCGAGTAGAAAATGAGGTGCGATATGGCGGAGAGGTCAAAGAGATTGTCGCGTGCCGATTGGAGCGTAGCGTAGTCGCCTCCATTCCCTTCACTGCAGATCGATGACGGGGAATTCGGTCTTCAGATGCTCGTCGGCGACGACGACTGGCATCTGCTTCGGCGCCTGACGAGTGAGAAAAATAGGAGAAATCGGGAAAAAACCCTAATTTCCGAGATTTTTATGAGATTTTGGGTATTTTTGGGATCTATTCACATTAGTAAAAAACTCGTAAATGTTTCGAAAAGCTGTAAAAAAAACTTTAAAAGCAGAAAATGGAGCCTCCAGAATGCCAATCCAAACATCTGAGGGCCCACATTAAAGAGTGAGAGTTTCTGGCGGCTGGGTGGTGTTTGTTTGTTTGTAATCCGATGCGATACTCCTTACAGCTCAGAAGATTCCTTTAGAATACTTTAGACGAGAGAGCGAGCGAGGGAGAGAGAGGGAGAGAGAGAGGGAGAAAGACGCAGAGAAGCCAAAATCCACGCAAATATCTGCCCCTGCTTTCTCGCCATGTTTAATTAGCATGGGAACCGGTCCCGCCGGGCAGCTGGCTCTAGGCTTTTAGAAAGTCGAAGCTGGCAGCTACCCAAAAGTGCTAAAATTAGCCTTCACTGGTCCTTTAAAGGTCTTGGAAAGACTGGCTATGAATTTTCTATGGGTTTAACCGCGCAGCGACACGCAACGCGCGCGCCCCGCTTCGTCGCCAGGCAATCCATTACGCCATGATACGAACGCGTTTCGTATCGCGACGCGGAAAATGGAAAATCCTTAGCAAATCCATATTTTAACGGGACCAGAAAGCTAGAATTTTTCATTTGTTTGCCTATTTTCCCCTACCTCCCTGACGGTCATATCCCAGTCGGTGCCCGGCCCGCCGCGATGCCCATCGTTTGGCTGCAAAAATTGTATTTTGCAAAAAAAATGATTTTTTGAGCGCTTTAAAGGCGCCGTGAAGACAGAATTCTATAGATTTTTTTATGATATTTACCCGATATAAATGATTAATGCAAGGAAAATGACATCTAGTGCTTCAAAATGCGCACTTCCGCAAAAACTCGTACCTTCAAAGCCTCGTTACACGATTTTATAGCGTTTTTAGCAACTGTACCTTCTTGGCCTTCTTCTTCGACATCTTCTCGCGCCACTGCACCCAACGGCCCATTCTTAGCGAGTTGTTAAATTGTGATTTTTCTGCATTTTTTGTGTTTTTCTCAATTTCCGTATAATTCGTATGTTGAAGCCACAAAATGCAAATTATTTATACAAATCCGCCTGTGGTATGGTTATACCGTATAACCGTTTAATCGGGAATTACAGTACGATACAAAGTACGTCACAGTACGGTAGAGTACGTTGAAGTACGATAGTACGTAATACTACGATAGAGTACGCTACAGTACGATGCCGAGAACGTACGGTTACGCTAAAGTACGATAAGGTACGCTTTAGTACGTTTTTGTACGTTGCAGTACGCCACAGTACGGTACAGTCCGCTTCAGTACGATACAGTACGATACACGAATTCCGGGAGAATACACGGGTACTCGACAATCAATCAACACTAATCGACTCTGGGCACTAACCAAAGCGGGCGAATAACAGGAATTAATAAAAATTACATTTCAAGATCCGGTTACGGTAGCGAAAATCTATCAAAAATCATTATTTTAAGACTTGTTGCCGTATCCAGGCCAAAAATATCCATTAAAGGAACCGGGAAGTCATCAAATCCCCGAAAAAAAACAATTTTTGAGCGGTTTTAAAATGTTTTTATGGATTTTCCGACTTCCAGGTCCCTTTAAAACTGCAAAAATCCGCATGTTGTCTAGCCGACAATAAAATAAAGTAAAAAAACAATACAATAACCGGGGTGATAAATGGTCTACAGCCGCTGCGTTGAGAATCGGGAAAATCGGACAACAAAAACACATTTTAAAGGGACTAGCTAGGCAAAATCTGCAAAGAATCCACAGCCAAAATAAATGCGCCTTGCTAGCTCCTTTAAAATACAGCATTTTTCTATAGAAGATCTTTCGAATAAGTAAAGTATATCAGAGGGGAAAAGCGCTTTTTTTAAAGTTCTGTTGTGTGACCGGTATTTGGTGGGATGGGGGGATAGCTTAAGGTATAAAAAATTAAAAATTGGTGGAATTATGCAGATTGGCCCTTCAGCGATTTGATGTAGCCATCCAGCTAAAAATATGGTAATTTTTAGAGCTTGTTTATAAAAAAATTCTAATTTAAATTACAACAGGTTTGTACCAATTTAATTTAATTTCATATAAAAAGTGAATTAAACCGGTGAAACGAAATTTCTAAATCATCGAAAGTTGAAAGATTCAATTTTAATTTTAATTGCCGTTCGCATGTCACTTGAACATTTATGGATATGGCAATCTAGCAGAGACTTTTTGGGAAAATCCAGTTTTTGGAAATGTAGAAAAATTAGAAGAATCTAAAAT